GAGTAGGCAGAGAACCTTATCTGGTGCTGATGATCGCTCCATAGAGCCACCAAACTAAGGACGAAGCATGAAGAAGACGAACGAATCTTTGCTTGGAGCAACCTTTATGATTTCCCTCACAAACTCCCCCTCACAAGATTCTCCCTCTCTCTCCCAAACTCACCTTCTTTTCTAAGCTTTCTTAGATTAGAACTTCAGCAAAAGATTTGTCAAAGGACAAATGCTTAAGCTTAAAAAGAAGATCTCCAAAACAGCCCTAATTTTCAATTATACGCAACTGATTGTTCAGGACGATTGGGATATCGTCTTGTACAAATAGTTTAAAAGACCTCAATCAAACTGTATGATCAGTCTTATCTATTCAAGAATTTGCACAGATCATCCTGGACAATTATGCGATCGTCTAAGACGATTAATTCAATATGGGTGGCAATCGACAAATCGTCCCACAATAGTCTCGATACGTCCTGGAAGATCAACCTAGACGATTAGAGGAAAATCATGATTTTTGTCCTGGATGATGGGTATCGTCCATCGGAAATAATAAATCGTCCAGGACGATCATAGTGAATCGTCCTATACGAACTGATTGAACAATTTAACCATAATTACTCTCCTAATCATCAGATCAATTTAGACATGATTGTCTTGCATCGTCCAGGACGATGTAGACCGTTCAGGTCGATGCAGATTGTCCGGGACGATTAGACGAAATTGCAATTTCAAAAACATGCCTAAAATATAATTGGCAGCTGAATTTCATACATATAACTGATCGTCCTATATGATTTGGATCATCCAGTACAATTATTTAATTATCTCATCATATCAGGATATTCTAATTAGGATTTTTATTTTAATTGATCGTCCATGACGATTTAAAATTGTCCTGTACGATATAATCAAAAATAGAAAAACTCTAACTCACCAAATTTATCCCCCTGAGTGTGTGTGTGCAAGGTTAGTTAGCTTCAGGATCCATCATAATACATTTGACTCAAGAAAAAGTAAAATATGCATTCGAATAGACATTACAGACTAAATCCTAGTTTACCTGATCTTAAGCTGATTAACGTTCGAAGTGAACTTGTGGATCTAAAAGGTTAGTGAGCAGGGCAAATAAAACACATATGCAAGAATTGCAGTAGTCAAGAAACAATGATGTTTGTTATTATCAAAATCATAGTACTTGGTCCAGATTTGTAACAATCTGCCCCGTTTTGATGATGACAAACATTGTTGTTAAAAATTTCAAAGCAAAAAAATAGTTTTTTTAATGAGACATAAAAAAATAAACAAAGCAAATTCCACTAAAACATAGGCAAATAAAAACAACACACTACTCCCCCTTTGACATCACAAAAAGGAGGAAAAATAAAAAACAACAGAAAAATAGAATAAAGTACAAAAAGACTAGAACAAACATAGAACAAAAAGACTGACAAACTAGAATGAAGAAAATGATAAATTTCCCTTGTGATTGGATTAAAAATTAGTAAGAAATGAATTAACAATGTCGAAATTCGAAAAACGGTAGAACAACCAATCTTGTTAACCCATCTCGAACTCCTTACAAGGTACAAAATCTGTTGAAAATAAAGATTTTACTCAGAAAAAAAAATGGATAAGAAAAGTTATATGTTCAAAACTTTATTTCAGAAAAAAATCTGATAGAATAATATAGCAAAGTAATTAGTCAAAATCATAGGTTTCAAAAATCAAGTGTTTGAAGATATCAAGTGATACATGAATTCTTTTAAGATTTAAAGATTTAAAATAGAAGAAAATTTATTTCTTTGTGGGTTTATTTTGTGCCTTATGTTAGTTCCTTACCGAGTTAGCGCACTTTGCGCATCTTTTGATTTTTGATACAATTTATGTATCTTTCAACTATTTGACGATTAGTGCGCATCTTTTTTGTTTTCTTTTAGGCTCATTTTATGTCTCTTGTCATTTTTGTGAGCTATCTCTCTTTCAAAATCTTTAAAGACTCTCAGTTGGGAGAATATCTTCTAGATATAAGAGAAAAAAACTCTCTCATATAAGGAAGAATAAACCACAAATCAGAATCATATTCATATGATAAATGCAACAACTTGATCAAGAAAATTTTAAAATGATTTAACGACTTTGAACATTATTCATATGAGATAGATTACTGTAAGAAGATAGAAAAGATCTAATTTCAAAGTCCAACTTTTAATTTGAAATAGATTTTTGCTTCAAAGAGAAAATTATACAACTAAAGGAGTTAGAGGAAGAGAAACAATCAACGGTGTTTCTTCCTTTAACTGATTTAGAGAAGTTAATCATCGTTTATAAATTTTCAAAATAAAAAACAAGGCAAAAATGTCATTAAGAAATCAATACAAGTAGTGACCATTAAAAAAACTGAAGGGAAAATAACATAAAAAAATGAAAAATGGAAACATAAGTACATAAGCAGAAACAAATATACAAACAAAAATAAAAGAAAGATCAGAAAAATAGAAAACAATGATTTCAAGCATTAATATCTATGACATCTAATCTGGTTCTCAAAATAGTATTAAAAATTTTAGTAAGCCATGAAATTCCTTCATCTCCTAAGCATTTTCACATCTCTACTGGAATATCATCAGGTCCAACAGGTTTTCCACACTTCATTTTCTTTAAAGCTTCTATAACTTCGGTTATACTAATATGCCGATTAAAACAAAAATCTTTATTTGCATTTAGGCTGCTAAGGTCACTAAAATCAATCGTATTTTCACATTCTTCATTAAAAAATTTAGCAAAATATCTCATCCACCTTTGTTGAATATCATCTTCTAAGAAAGTACTTTTTAATCTTCATCCTTAATATACTTCACTTGAACTAAATCCTTACTACTCCTACCTCTTTGTTTGGCTAACTTATACATATATTTTTCATTCTCCATAGTATCTAATCTATTATATAAATCATTAAAAGCTAAGTTCTTTGCATCATAAATAGTTTTTTTAGATTCCTTACAAGCCTCTTAATAGTTTTCCTAATTATCAGAATTTTTACATCTAAATCAATTTTTATAACAAATCTTCTTATTTTTTATTTTTTCGTGCACATTTGGATTCCACCACAAACTATTTTTACTATTAGGATATTTTTTCTTCGAAACTCCAAGCATATATTTTGCAATATTTTTAATATCACTAGCCACTTTTTCCCATATAACATTAGCATCCTCATGCACAGACAAAATTTTAAGATATAAAATCATATTCTTAAAAATACTTTTGCTAATATTCTTTAAATGCTCCCATCTAATCCTAAAAAATTATTTTACTTTATTTTTTATTTTCTGCCCCTTTATCTTAAAGTCCAAAACTAATAATTGATGTTGGGTACATAAATTTTCACTCGAAATAACTTTGCAATCTAAATAATCTAATTTTTTTATAAGAAAATAATCAATATGTGTTTTATTATATCCATTTTTATAAGCGACAAGTTGCTCATCTCTTTTCTTAAATAAGGTATTAGTTATTAAAAAATTATAAGCTAAATAAAAATCTAAAATAGTTTTACCACCTTCATTTGTCATTCCATATCCATGACAACCATGAAAGTTTTTAAAATCATCCACCTCTCTACCAATATGTTCATTTAAATTTTCTCTAATAAAAAATCTTTCTTCAAGAAGTATCTTTTGTATTAATTTTTTTAAGTCATTCCAAAATTTTAATTATGAACACATATATAAGCCTACTTGAGGAGCATAAACACTTATAATATCAACAATTTTAGCATCAACAATCATCTTTAAAGCTATAATTATATCTTCAATTCTGTTAATTTTTATAACATTATCCCTCAAACTCTTATCTATGAACACACCTACACCATTTCTAGTACGCTCCTACCCGAATACCATAGTTTATATCCTAATCTATGATGCATTTTTTTAAATTATCTTTTAAAACATACACAATTATATTATGAGAGGGCTACATACCAAAGGAAGGAGAAGAGAGTATTAGTGATGAAAAATATAAAATAAATTGTAGTTGACATCAAATTAACCTTATGGTATGGAAGCTATCAACTCCACAATTATTTCTTGTTTAAACATGAAATATGACTTTTGGACCTCATTAAGGCTTAGTTTTAAACAAACTATCTAAAAAGGTTTTGTTGTTTTAGATGTTTGGAATGACAAAATTTTAAAAATATATATTTCAATTATATTTAATATTTTATTACGATGATTATAAAATTGTACTACAAAACTATTCTTCATAATTTTGGTTAATTTTTTAGACCTTTGATTGAGATGAGCACCTAAGGCACTAGAAAAACTATGTCGCCATAGAGAGGCCTAGCAAATTTAATAACATTGGCAATGAATGCCACTACGTCATTCCAGAAGAAGTCATTTCCTTGTACCAGCGTAAGGCATGAATTTCTTACTTCATTGAATTTTTACTTGACCTAATTTCTTCTACCTACCTTGTTATAGCTTGTTGGCATTCCTAATTTGTTCAAATTTAATACAACTAAGATTTTAATTGCGGCGAAGAAATTACAATTGTTAGCTTATTTTGAGTGGTTTGAATTTCTCATTGGTTTTTATTTTTGAATTTACTCAATATTCGCATTGTTGTTTGGGCTTTAATTCTTGTCTTCACTAAATTATATATGAAGCAAGCAAGTTTATCATATTTAGTGGTCTATGAACTGTGAATCCTATGTTCTCTTACGTGATCTACAGATGATGCATCCTTCTAATTGCATTAAGAAATGTAGTCCTAAACCAACCCCCGTATCTGTATTGACATGAAAATAACACAAGTTCAAGCACGAACATACAAAAAAGCAAGCACTCATCAACTCCTAAACATATGTATGCTTATAATGACATAAATTGGTATGTCATGTGCTCAGATACAGCTGAAAGAAACTCTAACACAATACAAATTAGAAAACACTCAAACAATCGAAGTTCTAAAAGCTAAACTTTCTTTTACATTATGCTTACCAAAGCATGTGCCATGGGAAATAAAACAGGTGAGCACAGTGGCATTGGTCGAAATCTCTCTTTCAGAAACACAGCCTTGGAGCTTGAATTTGCTTTGACATCATCGCTGAAAAGGCCATACACAAATTGTTCAATTAAAGGAATAGCAAAAGTAAAATAAATATGGCATAAAGATTCAAGTCTCAAGGCATCATGACTAAAAAAAAAAGAGGAAAAAAAAACTAAACTTAACTTGTAAAGTTATATGTATGCTGTATTTAAGGAAATAAAATAATATCAAACAAGAAAAGAAAGTCTAATTGCAAAGTAGCGTGTTGTTTATATTAGATGGCTGATGTAGGCAAGGGGGGGGGATCAAATCAAATTCTAATATTTGATTTTTGACTTCTCTAGCTCATTAATATCAAATGGAGGTGTAGCTCATTATGAGCTGTTGTTTAGCTTTGAAATTAAAGAAAAATGGAGCAAGATTTGGTGAGTGGAACTTGACCTTTCATCTTCTTGATGTCTCTTGGGCTACTACGGTTCTCTGCTGATTTTCCTCCCACGATTTGCTTTGGTTCCCTGCTGACCCTTCGGTTTGCTACCTAATTTACTGCCCGTGGTCCCCTTTTTACCGAAAAGTGTATATGTCTGTTTGATCCCTGTGCTTGGCTGCTGGGATCCATGACTTACCTGCTGGAACCGTGGCCTCCTCTATTTTTTGCTATGCCGTTTGGGATTTCAGTAAAGGGGTTGTTGGTCTTTCATTTCCCTCATTTGAGTATTTGAAGGGTTTTTGTTCTACTATTGGATGGGTTTTCTGGCTGCTGTTTCTGCTGAAGTTTTTGTGATAAATACTAATATTTTGGGGCTATTTTGGACAGAATTTGGACAGTTTGTTGCTTTCTCTTCCCCTTATTTAATGAACTTTTAAGTGGCTGTTGGGCTCCTCTTTGTGCATATAAGTAGCTGTTTTGTGGCTGTTTTAGAATATGTTATGTGAATGATTTTTGGAAATATAAACCTGCGGGTTTTGTTGGAATAGGTTGCGAGCTTGTTCCATCTCTTCTTCTCATCTCCTTTGGAAATCTTGCGAGCTCTTTCCACCCTTCTTCTCGGCTTCTAATCTCTTTCTTCTACCTGCAAGTGCCACCCACATGTATCATTCTTCTCAAACAAGAAATGCAACTTTAGGTGTTTGTCTTGTTAGAATCGTTTGTAGGGTGTTTGTGTTTCTAAGTGTCTTGTAAGCATCTTTAATGTTATGTCAAAAGTTTGTAAGTCCTTTTATATGATATAAAACTTTGTGTTTGTTTCAATTTGTCTAGTTTTGTGAGTTTTTGATTTTTTCTAGATCCTAGAAAGAGTCTTCTTTTGTAATCAAAAATTTGGGTATTGCATCAATGGCGCTGGACTGCACTTCGATCTATTCACCCCACATGTTTGTATCAGAGTCTCATTTCCAGTGGAATCAAGCACGTCAATAGATTTAAGTATGTACCTTTCCTATGTTAGCTATGGATCCAAGGTTTGCCCACAATCAAAGCTACTGAAAAAGAAAACGCATTTATGCGAGATCCTTAAGCATTATAAGTATCACATGTTTATTCTAGAATTTTTGGCAAGCTAACAGCCAAACTAATGAGGACATCAGGACATGGAAAGTTTATTAGAGGTGTGGCCGTCGATCTAAGGCCACGATTACACCGCTCTACTTTTGATTTTCATATTTATTATTTATGAATTAGTTTTATTTAAGAAGTTTTATTTTTTTTTCCATTTTTGCCCTTACTTAAGGGCTTAGGTATGTGTAAGCCCTAGGGGCATAGTAGTACTTTGTATTTTCTCATTGTATAGGCTAATTTAAAGCCTCCCTCGTCCTCTTTGAGGGTTAATAGGTGATAATAAGAAAATTTCCTGCAACTCTTGTCTTGAGAGCGTGATAGCTTTGGAGAGAACCCTTGGAGAGGGAACCGGATCATTCACCAACCTTGAAAGCGTCCGGGTTCGTGGCTTTTATTTTCTTTCTTCCTTTTGGCTGCGTTTCTCCCTTCCCCTTCCATCTAACCACTGGCCTAGGGCCCCTAACCACGTAGCAGCCGGATTCCCTAGCCACACTCCACCTTGCCGCCGGCCAACTCCCCCCACCCCCCCACCCTCCACCTTCCGCCGGCCAACTCCTCCCCACCAACCCATCTCCCCTCCACACCCAAACTGGCCCTCCCTCTCCCACCACCAAGCCATTCAACCCACAAACCCTTAACCTACTCCTAGTCTAGCCGCTGGCCATACCATCTCCCCCACACCTCCAAAATTCAAATCCCTCCATTACTTCTTTCATTTTCCATACAAATCATTTTGGGAAAGCTTTCATCCAATCAACCAATCAATATTTAAAATTCAAATTGTTTCATAAAATAAAATTTTATTTTAGGGAACTTATCCAATCAAATCCAAATAAAATATAATTGGATTGGAATTAATTCTTCCCTCCTTATTTGAATTTCCAAAAGAGGCAAGCATTAAAACCCTCTCTCCAATCCCCTCCACTCCTCTTGATGCCGCCGGCCCCATGGCCACTTTCCCAATTAATTTTTTCCAAACTCTAAGCTCAAATCAAAGGAATTAATTCCCTATTTCCTCCCTCCCTCTCCTCCCTCTCTCTACAGACCACCCACATCAAACCCTAGCCTCCAACGCAAGCTTCCTTGCTGTCCAGAAATTTCTGGATGCTAATAGTGGTTGTCCACCCTTCCAAACCCTAGAGAGCTGCTGTCCAAGACCTCCTGTTTGCTGTCCAGTGATTCCAGAAGGAGCTCGCTACTGTCCAGCCCCTTTGGCAGGGGCCATTGCTGCCTGGAACTGTCAGGAATCGATGTCCCAGAGGTTGGCTACTTTCTGTCCAAAGGTTCGAGCTTGGATTTGTTGCTGTCCGAGCCGTCCAAGAAGCCACCAACTGCTATCCAAGCTTGCGAGAAGGTTGAATCTTAGCAAAGGATGAACTCTTGCCTCCTTTCACACCTTCCTCGTTGATCCTTACTTGTGGTTTTGATTGATTCATGCAAAATCTTGCAATGCTCCGCTAAAGCTTAGTGTTTAGTAAGAATTGTGTGAAAGACCTTTTATAGCACTACTTTTATTGTTATATTAGGGATTTATTGTTGAAACCCACATATCGTATGCAACGTCAAGAGTAATTGATTGTTATGTGATTTTTTCTTTTCGTGAGTAACTAGGCCTAAGCTTGTGTTTAACGCTCTTTGTGTTTAACTCACCATAAAGCTTTAACTAACTTGCACTTAATCATCAAGCATGCAAAATTCTTATCTAAATCATAATTTCATATATGTCCTGCATCACAAACACTGATTATTTATTGTTTTTATCCGATTTTAAAACTTCTTACCAGGCAAGTAGAATGAAAGAAAATTCATCGATAAAGTAATATTGCAATTCTCTTCTTCAGATAGTAGCAAAGAACTTCCATACTCACCATAGGTTCAAGAACAATATTTACCATTTTGATACCGTAAAGACATGTTTGTCACAGGTAAGATAAACAGTACCAACTCCCAAAAATTGCGGCAGATTTAGCTTTTTAAGAGGATACACTCTAGCAACTTTCATTTTCAAAGTTTTAGAGGAACCTCAACTTGAGCCTAGGCTCTATGCAAGCTCTTTTGAAGCAAAGTTACCAGTTATTGAAAAAGGTACTCCAGTGCATCAAGGTTTTTTAAGAAGCAAAACAAATTTTATTGTCAATCAATGAAAAAAATACAACAAAATTTTCATAATATTGTTGGATGAAAAGAACTAAAAATAATATATATCGGCAACACCAACTGGAGGCAAATGATGCAACACCAAAAGAGCGTAACAATTAGGGGCCTCATTAAAAATGTATAACTTGAAAACAAGTATATTTTGGACTTTGGGGAGTGATGATATATTTTCTTTTTTTTTTTCTCTCTCAAGCATTAAAAATTTAGAAGTTTTTGTAAACTAGTTCTTCTATGCAATGGAAACCTTAAGGTTAATAGACAGAATTTGGATCAGCAATATCCCCACCAATAGGTAGATTATCAAGTGCATAACCCCAAGTGGGTCAAGAACACAAATTTAATGAGTAGGTGATGTGTCATTCCCAACAATTGGGCTAGCAATCCAAGAAGGCATTAATTCCAAGGCAGGATGTAGAGTTTTTTATAGGCAGGTGGCTGATAGAAATAGAAGTGTCATTTCTATTAACAAAAGAATGATTAGAAGGCTCCTTTCTCTTATTTTCTTAGCAAGGTTAGGTTAGTTTCCTAGGAGTTAATTGGTGTTTGCCTACAAATACCCTATTATTATGTTAAGAAGAAAGTTCTTTCGGAATATAGTTTCAAGTTACTTTGAAAATTTTAGAATGGATTTCCTAGCTTAGGAGAGGAGGGTGAGAGAAAGCCATAGTGGGGTTCAAGACCTTGCCAAAATTGGTTTACCAAGAGCCTTACCCCCTTCCCCTATGAAACCAAACCATTCTAGGCCCGAATTAAGGAATAGACCAGCATTTCTCCAGCCACCTCCACTCAGTTGGATTCTACACAGCTGTCAATCGGTTTCCAGGCTAGGCAGCATGTGATAGCTGCGTTGCTTCAAATCCTTGAGTCTGGAGCGGATAACAATAAGTGAAATCCTAAAATTCTTAGGGATGCCATTTTTCTTCATCAAGAATCATTTCTTCTCAGGTTTTCTGTTTTCATATCATCGTTTTTCTTTCACAATTCAAACAAGCTTAAGAACAAATCTCTGCTGCTTGTTTTGTGTTTGTTTTCTGCAGCCAACGTCTAGTTTTCCAGCTATAATTCCTCCTCCTTACATAATGAATATACCACCTCTGGGCCCCACAAGGTCCCCCCCCGCGCATATCAATACTCTCCTTCCAAAGAAACACCTTGTCCTCAAGGTGGAACAAAGATATTGTCCATCTAAAAATCCTCCAGGAGCCATCGTCATGTATTTGTGCCTTTGACAGATATTGTAATTGGCCGTCATCTCCTCCGCATCTTTCTAGTAGAGAATTCTAGAATCCCTGAAAATATACAACGACAGATTTATTTTTTAGTCATATTCCAGCTGAGAAGA